CGGACTAAAAGTGTTGTAGCGTTCTGTAACATTGAGCTAACGTCGCAGGCTATTGGGAAAAGGGGGCGCGGTGTAGAATGAGCTTGGCATCAGCATCACTGACTTTTGGCGCATTGCGGACGGACGTCATACCCGGTGCTTTTTTTGTTATTGCTTTTGTTTCAACTTTATTTTTTTTTTTTGAATATGTCTTGGTTGGCTTGGCTTGGCGTCGGTGTCTTCCAGTTGTAACAGGTGAGAGGGATTCTGGCGTCGCGGAGCAAAATGGTGCAGTTGAGGGGGTTCATCCGGCTTGTAGAAGAGGAGGCGGTGCTCGAATGCTTGTATTTGTATGGGACGATACCCATGAGGCTCCATGGGGCCCAGCTGGTGTATAAACGCAGAGGGAACTGCGTACAACAATAGTCATGTCTCGAAGCTGGCGAGTCGCCCCATTAGGGCCGATGCCCGGACAAACTACTTGGGAGATGTATCAGAATAGACTTGCCTTGTTGTCACGACACTGCCTGTCCTGGACGCTGCTCATGCTCCATGTACTTCATTCTAGGTGGTCTTGGCCACGATATAGAGCCGGCGTGTCGATTTGGATAGTTGAGAGCATGGCTCCTAGGCTTTCGTGAGGGAAGAAAGGCGCCGTCAGGTGGGAGACCTTGACGCCTGAGTAGACTTTTGTCCGTTCTCCGAGATGGATATGCTTAAGGCACGGCATCATTCGCACTGGGATTGGATGAGGCGGACTGGGTAGTTTCGCAGTCGAGAGGATGTTGGCTAGCACAGTAGTCTTCAACGTATAAAATTCCTGGTCTGCAGCCGTGCTGCTCGTATTTTTCAACTGCCTTCTCCGACTACGTTGCCGCGGGTTTTGAAAGTTGGCTACTCTTCCGGCAACACGGTTGGCTCTTGTCCATCCTTCGGCTTTGGCACCATGTGCGTATCTTGCTGCACCTGGTGTTGGCCTCTACGATGGTTATATATGGGCTTGTTTGCGTATTCTGTTTCTTCTCCGTTACCCGTCTGGTAGTGGCTGTACTTTGCTCGTTACCATGCGCAAATGCAAGTCTGATGAGAAGAGCCGTAGTAGTCGTAGGACCGCCTCTCTCTACGCATCGTCCACATCAAGTCAGGGGTTGCTTCGCTGGCGATTCAAGGACGGAAAAAATAAAAAGAAAACGACAAAAAAAATCAAGCAATTGCCGACGCTACCGACGACAATGTGCAGCTTTCTGCATCACATGTGTGACTTTGTGTCAGTCGGTTGTTGTGCGACGCAACGCGGCGTGAAGAGTCGGTGGGAGCGTCGGATGCAAGGCAGCATGACACCTGCACGCATGCACGGGAAGGCAGGAGCTGTCCATGTCCGCTTCCAGACCCGTTCTGGAGCTCCAGGACGCCGCGAGCCCAGGGAGCAGGAAGCTCGGCCGGGAGAAGCTCCTGCTGGTTGACAAATGCAGTGGAGGCGCGGGACGTGTGGTCCGTGCGCTCTTCTAGAAAGCTTCGCTGCGAGCCTCTTGCCCGTCATGTTCCCCTCCCTCAGGCCCCGAGAGAGACCCCTCCATCGCCTGCCTGCCTGCCTGCCTGCTTGCCCATATCTGCCTGTGCGAGCTGCTCGAGGTTTTCCATGTCCAACGTGCTGGTGGCGCGCCTTTTCCGGAGCATTTGCCCAGGCAGATTGACAAGCTTCCAAGCTTCCCTGGCCGTATCCACTCGGGCACCTGGGACCTTGTCTTTTCTTCTTTTCCTCCTTCTTCCTCCTCCTCCTCGACCCGCTTGGAAACCATCGCGTTGCGTCGCTCATCCATCAACCCGCGCACCCGCAACTTGCCCCTCCCTGTTTCAAGCCGACTTTTCACCAGACGTTGACATCGCTCCGCCGCCGAAAAACACCTGCGTTGGAGTCTGAGGCAAGAGGCTCATCCATCGGCGTCGTGTTGCGTTTCGTCTTCCCTCTCGACCTGGAGCTCAAGCCCCCCTCCATCCCTCTTCCCACCTCCGTCTTACCTCTTCCCCATCCCATCTCATCCGGGCTGGTGTCGGCTGGCTGAGTGGTCGCATCGTCCTGCACAGCAACACCGGCCACCGCAGGGTTCTCCCCGAGGCCCCAGTGGCAACTGCAACGACCCCTCCTCCTCTTCCATCTCCCGTCTCTGCTTCTCTGCTCCATTTTCCTCAGCTCCCCATCTCCCTTGACCTTGGCTTAGTTTGGATTATCCCCGCCCTCGGTCCTGACTGTCACCAGCTGCTTGATTTCCTCCCCAAGGTGAGTTGATGGCCATTCCCTCTGTCCTCCAGCTTCCTGCCATGGCATTGGCGTGCCAGCTTCGTGGTGCCAGGTACCACAATGACGTTTCTTTGCGCCGCTCCGTTGATTCAGAGCTTTTCTCTGCCAAGAGGACAGTCGGATTCATCTCTCCTGCTTACGCCCGACACCAGAAGCCCAAAGCCATGACTCTGCCCGCATGGTTTGACTTTGTGCAAGCTCCAAAAGCTTCCACGGCGTTGCCCAGCTCGTACTAGTCACATGGCCCCCAACTCCCCCATCGATGTTACATGATCAGAAGGTCATACCCGTATGCTAACACATTGCTGTTATGCAGGTCTTTACCCTCACATTGGGCCGAGACTGGTTTGTTTATCCAGCTCCTCCTACATAATCAAGGTTTGTTGGTCTGCAGTCCCCTCTTTCACGCCTGTCTCATCGTGCCATCGATGAAGAAATACCCTTGCTGCCACAGCTCCTCGAGACGCAAATCATGTTCCGAAATTGACCAGAGTCCCGACAGGCCATCGTTATTGCCGGCCGGCAAATCAAACTCGCTCCGAGCTTCGCTCTCCAATATCTTCTACCAAGCCTACAAACGAAGAACCACCGTCGATCCTGTACCTGCAGTATTCATACTAGCCATAATGTCTGTTCCTTTTTCGAGCCCGTTCGGGGCCAATGCAAACCCCTTTGGCAACGATCGGTCACAGAATGTTATGCACAGCCTGGCCGAGGAAGATGAGAATGAGAATGGCAGGAACCAAACCACAGGGATCGGCCCGGGTGCTGGCATCAGCTTTGCCGGAACCTTTGGTGGCGATGCCAGCACAGATACACCTCCAACTGTCCGAGGCCCTCCACACCCAGACAGCTATCCTGCCCAATACAACTTTGCTCGTCGCACCTCAGTGTCGGCTGAGTCGCTAAAGCCCAGTGCAGACAGCTACGACAACTGGTCGCCCCCTTTTCATGAAAAGACTGCCGACCAGTTGGGGCGTCTCAAAAGGGCTATCGAGGGCAACTTCTTGTTCAGCCATCTCGACGAAGAGCAAACTGCCCAGATCCTCGGCGCGTTGGTTGAAAAGCCAATTCCCGCCAAGGGTATCAAGGTGAGCCATAATGCCAGAGGCAATGAGTGGGAATGAGACGCTAACATCTGATAGGTCATCAGCCAAGGTGATGCTGGCGACTTCTTCTACGTCGTTGAGAAGGGGTCATTCGATGTCCATGTCAACCCCAGTGGGACCATCCAGCCTGGGCCGGACGGCTTGGGTGAGCAGGTTGGGAATATCCAGGCCGGAGGATCATTTGGTGAACTCGCCCTCATGTACAACGCCCCACGTGCTGCCACAGTCATTTCCGTTGAACCCAACTGCACGCTATGGGCCTTGGACCGCATCACATTCCGCCGCATACTAATGGAGTCGACCTTTGCCAGGAGGCGAATGTACGAGACCTTCTTGGAGGAGGTCCCACTCCTGTCATCATTAACGCCGTATGAGCGTTCCAAGATTGCTGATGCCCTCGAAACCAAGAAGTATGCCCCGGGCGAGATCATCATTAGAGAAGGGGACCCAGGTCATTCATTCTTCTTGCTAGAGAGCGGCGAGGCAGACGCCTTCAAGGGTGACCAAAGCAACAAGGTGCTGCATTATAAGAAGGGAGACTTTTTTGGTGAATTGGCCCTGCTCAATGATCAGCCTCGAGCTGCCAGCATTATGGCTTCGACGGAGGTCAAGGTGGCAACGCTTGGCAAGAATGCTTTCCAGAGACTCCTGGGTCCTGTAGAGGGTATTCTGCGCCGTACCAGATACGAAGGTGTCGCTACTGGAGTCGAGGAAATGGACCCTCTGCACCGCGACTAGGGCGCTGCTCCAAGCTTGGAATGATGCCGTGTGGGCTTTGATGCGGTGGACGACTGAACATTCGGCCATGACTTCAAGATGGCTAAAATAGGCTCTGCCAAGGTTTGGCTGGGTGGGCGTGGAGGAGACGGCGGTGCCCTGGTACAATACTGCATGAATTGGCCGAATGATGGAAGAAACGAGTTTCGAGTCGGCGTTTTGCTGTTTTGGAGAGGAATTACACGCCTTCAACCTCATTTTCCTAAAGGAAGAAAGAGCCATGGCTACATGAACAGATAGATACCTTGTTTGATAGTGAATTATGACTACCGAGCTGATTCGAGAGTTGTACTGCCATGCGTCTACAAGGTGTATGCTGCCATATTTCTGCAAACATGGAGGTATATATCTACCAATGCTTGCTTGTTTGATCACCGGTGACATACTATGGAAAGGAATAAAGCGAGATGTGATGCGAATCTGTTGATTCGAAAATACAAACGTCGGCATGCTCTATTGATGCGTATTCTGAAATGTGCAAGTTGTAAACATCCCTGTCTGGAGCTAGGCTTCGCCGTGATACCACCGAGGGTTTCCCGTCCCTCCTCCTCCCCCCCGAAGTGTCAGGGTCCTTGCGCAACTCCACTAGTGACAAGGGTGAGCTCCAACCTGGTCCGTGCGCAACAGTCAAGCGGGACTCAGGAGCACGATTGGCTTGTGTCGCACAGTATCTCCTTAGCTGCGGAACGGCTTGTGGAGTCCTGATTATGTAAGAAAATTGTGAGATGCCCTGCGAGAGCTCGTCGGCACAAGGCTGCAGGGCTCAAAAATTTCCAATTTCCATCTCCCCGACTCTCTTTGCTTTCCCTACTACGAAGAAGAAAAACACCACGACGATGGCGGCACCTGCGTTCCACGAATCCCTCCCGTGTACGCCTCCCCCCTCTTTTCCCCAAAAAGCCAGAAATACAAAGCAAGCTGACTGATTTGCCAACAGACATCGACACGCCGTCCGAGTCGGAGCTGGCCAGGGCGCGCGCGCTCGTCGCGCAAGAAGCGCAAGCTACGCCGCGGGGGGACACCACCCAACAAGCAGCGCCGGAGCCGGCCTTTTCGGAGGCGATGCAGACGGAGCTCGCGCGCGTCGCGTCGTCGACGGCCCTGACGCCGCTCGACACGAGCCGCTACGAGGCGCAGGACCTGCCGCCGCCGGGGAAGGGGACAGGCACGGGGGACGCGGCGCCGGTCCTCGGCCGCGCGTACACGTCGGCGGCGTACCTGCGCTCGCGGCTGCAGAACCTGGAGCTGCTGGAGAGGCACGGCGCGCCCGCGTGGCTCCTGGCAAACTACCACCTCGAGGCGGCGCTGGGGCGGGCCGAGGCCGAGCTCGCCCGGACAAAGGGCGAGCTGGACGGGGTGAATGACGCGCGGAGGCGGCGGCAGGCCGACGTGGCCGCCGAGATGGCCGGGCTGGAGGAGACGTGGAGGACCGGCGTGGGCAGGGTGCTGGAGACGGAGCTGGCTGTCGAGGAGCTCAGGGCCTCGATACGGGAGGAGCTGAGGAAGAAGGGGGGGCTGTCGGGCTGACACTCTACTCTTTTGTCTTTTTTATTTGGCCTCTTGATTACTGAGAAAGGGGGGTTTTTTTATGTTTTTTTGGCAAGGGAAAACAATTCATCTGCGAGGCGAGGGGACCGGAACCGTGTTTCCCAAAGGGGTCTCGCCGGATGCACGAATGTACTAACAGATGAGACTGCAACGAGCCTGGCTCGAGATTCGACAGTCAAGCAGCTCTGGACTTTTGATCGACACCACACACGAACCGGGGCCGAAGGGGGCAAACCGTTGGCGTTATGGGGCCGGAACTCTGCACTTGCTTTGATCGGGGGCGTTGCAACGGCCAGTTTTGCTCGTTTGGCAGAGCCCGACAAACCGACCCCCCTCCCGCCAATGGCCACGGACGTTTGCGCTGCGGGCTGCATGATCGGGCGACTGGGAAACCCGGCCCGTCGCACAATCAAGTAAAAAAGCAAAAACAAACGGCCGAGATGAGCACTTTTTGGGGGGGAACAGGCTGCCAAGGGGAGCACGCACGTACATGATAGTCGGCCCCCTCTGGCCCCCATGTTTGTCATACCAGACCAGATCGGCAGTTTGGCGGGCATCGAACTGACTTGAGTGACCTCGCGCAAGTGTGTGAACCGTGGCGCCGAGCGGGGTCCTCTCCAATCGCAGGAGCCGTCGTTTTGACAGTTACGCGTGGCCTTGCGTCCGTTTGTTTCGCTTGGATTATAGATTCGGGTCTGGGGGTGATGGGAGACTGGATGTCGGTGCCGTCCAACTTGGTCTTGTACATGTGTCATTGCCTTATCCCGATGGACAGCATGATGGCAAAAAGTGAGGTCTGCCAGCATCTGGTAGATAGGGTGTCACATTTCATGAATGGTCACGGCATTGGAACAGCTTCACTTGAACACAGTGTTGATATACAGGGCGGAATCTGTTTTCATTCTCAGAATTCTGGCCAGCGTCATTAGACGTCATATGATAGATAATACAATGCATCCTTCGCCCACCGGGCAGATGTCAAGAGCAGCAGTTTAGCTGCTCGTCAAGGTCCCAAATAGCCACAAGAAGAGGGGTCTCCCTTTGTCAAACTCCGATCCTGTTACATACCTCTTCCTCCACCAAACTCCAGTTTCCGGTTTCATATGTAAAAAGCAAATGTTTCGTATAATTATATGGTTTCATTTCATTTCGTGGTGTTGAAATAGCGACTTTGCAAAAAGTGTTTCGGGCACCCCAATTCGTAAAAGTAGGACGAATGACTATCTGGGTCCTGACTGGCCGACATGAGATGTACTCATTTAAGAAGCGGACCGGCCGCTCTCAGATGAGTCAGTCTTGGAGACATCGTCCTCCTCACTGACAGGTCCGTGGACAGACTCTTCGAAAACGGGCTCCGTGTCAATCACTTCAAACTTGGTTTTGAAGTCGTTGAGATGATGAGAGGCAGAGCTGCTGTTGGAGCGACGCCGAGCGTTGTTAAAGGAGAAATCTTGGCCCATGACATCGTCGGTAAAGGTGCCCCTATAGTTGAGTTGTATGTTAGCCAGGTTGCTCAAGACATGGCCGGATAAAGACATCAGTCAACCTACCAGTTTCCTCTGCCGCAGCCGTTCTTCTTGACCTTCTTGGGGTCGGCATCAGTGAAGCCAGCCTTGCCGGTGTAGCGTGGCATTTGGTCTAGGATAACTGCGGTGCCTTCGGCGAGGCCCTTGTGGTCACGGTCGTTGGCCTTGACGGTGCGAGTCACTGCCGCAAATTTGTTAGTGCCTTGTCTCGACTTCAGGAGTCTTGAGTCGCATATGGGCATCCGGCCGAGGTGCTCAACACATGCTACTAGGACCGTGTTTGCGTTTTGGACTCGTGGGCGATCAGGTACTCACTCTTGCTGATTGGTGTGTTAAAATCAACGGTATCAACGTGTGGTCAAGACAAGCAGTGAATATCTGCTTGGTGGGATGAATCAAGAGAAGGTCCTGATGAGAGAATCCTTGATAATGATGCGATGATGTGATGAAGGTGCTGAGAGGGAAGGAGAGGAGAGATGTGTCAAATAGATTTAAATGGCCGTTAAGAGTTGTTGGAGGGATGGAGAGTGTCGCAAACGTAAAGTCGTTCAGAGTTGGTTCGCTTTGATGAAAAGTGAAGATGGGATGATGGGAATGGTACAGAGTAGATTGAAGAGATGAAGAAGCTTCCTGGAATGGGAGAGGCGAGGGAAGCTGTACTATTATATCACAAAGTCACGCGAGGGCAGGCGGGGACCAATCAGTGCTCATGGGGAGTCATGAGAGAGATGACGGCAGAAGAGCAGTTGTGCCCGTCAACAGTCAACGGCAAAGTACGAGTGCACAGAGAGTGTATGGACAGTATACATTCCCACGTCAGTCTAGGCCGACTCGGCGCTGATACGGGGGTCTCAATACTTGTTGCACACCTGGAGGGTGGATGCAAGGCCCGTTTTGGTTGGGGCGATGCAGTTGCCACGATGGTGGTGCGGTTGCTCCTGCCATGATGCCATTGTCCACTCGGGTCCATGCCCATTGCCAAAGTACCTACCTAGGTTCACAGAGACGCTGCCCTGGCACTGGCACGGTAAACTGGCCACTTGACGCTTCAATCTTGGTACAGGATATTAGCTATTGCAACCGACAAGGACCAAGTAGCAGATGTGGCCTTGTGCTTTTGGCATGTGTCCTGTTTGCGACGAGGGATTACATTCGTGCCTGCTCCCCACGGTGAGGACGCAGCCCAGGCCAAGGTCGATGTGAACGGTGACGGACAAGTCGTGGCCGGGGGCAGGAGCCAGGAGACAAAACCGAGAGAAGTGGGGCACATGAGCATGTCACTAAGCTGCAATGGAGCAGGCCATCGCGTGACCGCACGCCAGCTGCTGGGCCGGCTGGGCCAGCTGGAGCTCCCAGGTTCGCCATGGTCCCTCGTCCATGTCCCGTCCATTATTGACGAGCTCGGTGGCACGTCATAAGGGGAAGCTTGCCATTGCCGCAATGCTCAATTGCTCAATTGTCCAATTGCCTGCTCTCAGAGTATCACTATCAATTGGGCCACGTTGCGTTGACGGGACATGCAGCTCTGTTTGCGGCAGCACCTCAATCGAGCATCCCCCTGCATGCAAACGCACGCAATCACGACGGCATCTCAGCTGCGGACCTCCTCTGCTTGCGCCGAATCGCCTTGCACGAGCACGTACGGGGTACACGGTACAGAAGACAAGCGAAACAACAAGAAACCGACTACAAATGCCACTGCTCCAGGGGGATGATAATTGAACGGTTGATGGGCCACACGAGACATCAAACTAACGCCCGACGCTTCGTGTAGCCGGTACTCGGCATATCCACCTGGCGCATGCTTGACTGCGGGGTAACAAAAAGTATGGGGTACGCAAGCGTCGACTGATGGACTGATCGACATGACTGCCCTGGCCGCTTTGTCTCCTTGGGGGCTCAAGCTACATTAATTGCTAGTTCCCATCCCGCTTCGTGCCAAGTACTCTGGTGTCTGGTCCATGTCAGCTATTTATCGGGCTCGTTTTGCCCAAGTTGACTGCACATTTCCTAGACAACTAGGTACACGTTGCCCCTCTGGCTGGGTAAAGTACCTACTTCACCAAGTCTAGCCACTCACAGCGCCAAAGGGCCTTCGGTGGCGCTTGACTTGGCGCTAAGCCGGAGTTCGGATAAGCATTCCTGCGCATGTTATGCATTTGCCGTCGTTTCGTGGTGGTGTCCGCCGTCAAGGTGTCCGAGGTACGCCCATCGTCTTCTCGCGTCCGATTTGGTCGGGGGCAGTTCGCCAGAGTGCGAGGCCGCAGCAACCTGGACTTATTTTTGTTGAGCCCCCTCGCCACCACATTCGCCATCGCATCGCCATCATGGCGTAGAGCGGCGGAGCCGGGACTGGAACACGTCCAAGACACCCTCCGTCTACCGGGGAGACAGCCTGGCAACATGTGCAGAACTCGGTGCAAACACACGATATCGGACCTTTCGAACCCCTAGCTGATGAATTGAGTTGTGAAGCCATATCCGTCCAGAAACCCCCGGCGTCCGATGTCGCCGGCGTCGATGCATCTCGACTTCGGAAGAGGCGGGTTCGCGGCCTGGAGCCTGGAGCCTTGAGCCTCGTGACTTTGCCGGACTTGCCTGCGCCCAGCGTCCAACCGTAGTGCCTGGGGAGAACAAAGGGTCTTCAGCGAGCGGTGACTCACCGGTGCTCCTGGCCGTCCTTGTCACCATGTCGTCGAACCATGGCGAGCTTTCGGACCCCTGGATGTCATGACAGTGCCTGGAGCTGCCCTGGGATCCGCCCAAGCTTGTCTGAGACCCGCAGCATGGGTCAACTGGTCCCTGCAACCAGCTTGCCAGCTTCTGTCCAGCTGCGAGGCGGACCACATGATCACTTCACTCGGGCCACCAGTCGGACCAGGACCCGCGAGCCAAACGACGTCAGAGCTCTGCTGAATCATCATCTAGCAAGCTGTGCCAACGAGGCTGGAGTGAGAAGCCATGGTTTGACACGTATTCATTTCGTTTCGACTCCAACTGTCGTCCTTTCGAGCAACTCATGTCCGACCTGTCCCTTCAAATGGCCATCGTGTCTTTCGGGACGTCATCCAAGACCGCGGTATCTAATGATGCCCCCGTTTGCATCTCCACCGGATCAATGCCTTCACACACGTCATTTCAGGCTCGCGGATTGCCAGTCATGCCAAGATAATATAAACCACAGCGATTACCGAAAGACTAGCCCGACACACCATTCAAATACCCCCAATACCGTTTGCGTCCAGTTCCTCAACAAGTCACCCATTTATTTCTACAGGCCAGGCAGATTATTAGCGGCGCTTATCCACGTCTAGTAAGGCATCACGCTTCTCAGCATGTAAAACAGGCCTGCTCGTCCCGCGTAAACCTCACCATAGAAATGGGCAGCAGTGTCAATAGCAGCATCCAACCCACCTAGTACACCAACACATTGTAGTCCAGCCACTTTGTCCC